TCGCTCATACCCACCGTCGTTTTGTATCGTGAAGTGCGGCTATTGCGCCGCGCTGGTCCGCGTCCTGACGCCGTGTCCCTGTCCGGCCGTCAGGTGGCGCTGTTCCCTACCAAGGGGCGCGGCGTGGTGGCGACGCGTCCGTTCGCGCGCGGCGAGTTCGTGGTGGAGTACGCCGGCACGCTGGTGGACCTGGAGGAGGCACGCCGCCGCGAGCGGGTCTACTCGCAGGATCAGAACACGGGCTGCTACATGTACTACTTCACCTGCAAGGACCACAACTGGTGGTGAGTGACGGCCCGGCCGGCGGCAGCGGCCTGCCGCCGAGCTGGGGGGGGGGATATAATAAACTGATGTTGATAGCTATTTCTGCTGAGATTTGGCAATGGGACAGGGCTCCCGGTGCTCCGCAGACAGCTGGAAAGGCGCGAACCTTACATGCATCGTAAATTGTTGAATCAAGTGGCTTATTTTAGACTATGAAACATCGTCCCAAGCGCATACCGATGCTCAATCATACTAATTATTTTTGTTAAATGTCTTAGTTTGAGTAATAAGTGCTGGAGGGAGTCGCATTTTCGCCATTGCTTCTCTTCTCTTTGTATATGTGCAGAACGTAAATCTATAATTTATTTGTATTAATGTATTAATGACAAATGCTGAAAAAATGCTGCTACTCCGGTGTTTTACCGGCCAAGTCTCGAAGTGTCAGATAAATCATATCGCATGAGCTGACATGATAACCTCAGCCTGGTGCAGCCTGTAGTCTGTCATGGTTATCTCTGCCCCCTTCACCCGTCTTATCACACGTCAAAAAAAAGGAAATGGCGTCTTGCTAGCAGTTAGCTTGTTGACCTTCATCAAGGGCCTGTTATCGTCCCTGATAACGACGCATTCTTTCACACAGTTCTCTACGCCCTTGCTGGCTCGGTTTTAACTTGTTAAAGTTATGCTAAGAGCGTTAGATGTAAGCTGCTCTTCCAATACACATATGTCAGGAAGAACAAAAGATAGCTTGGAAATCGTCAATGACTTTCTTGGTTAACATGATGCATATTACGAAAGCTGTAGGTTAATATCTACGGCAGTATCCATAGTTCCACTCATTGCCCTCAGTTTTTCTACATAGAAATCTTCTGACACTGTTGTGCTTGTATTTTCTATTTTTACCACCAGCTGTTCGCCAGCATTGATGCGAGCCGTTTCTATATCTGTCCGCTGTTATTGGTGGTGAGGCCGTGTTTGTTCGCCGTCCGTATGTGTCCCCACTGTTGACCTGAGCGGGCGCCCGTGTCGCCAGCATCGACGGTACCCCGGAGACGCCGCGACTGGGCCGGCTGGTCAACCACAGCCGGCACGCCCCCAACTGCGTGACGCGCTCGCTGGAGGTGGACGGCCGACCGCGGCTCGTGCTGATCGCCAAACACGACATCGCCGCCGGCGACGAGATCCTGTACGACTACGGCGACAGGAGCCGCGAGAGCCTGCTCCACCACCCGTGGCTGGCGTTGTAGTCGGCCGCGCGCCGCGCTGGGGGCGCGCCGGCCGGTCCGCCGCGCCGGCCGAGGGCTCCCGGTGAGCCGGAGAGTCTCGGACGGGCGCCGCCCCCTCACCCATCACTGCCACCCTGCACAGCCGTGTGGGCCGACCGGGACCCGAAGGGCCGCTATGTACAGCTGTATATAATCGTGTGTACTCGTAGGATAATTCGACGACTTGACGACATTGCGCGGTGCAACATATCGTGCGGGCCTGCGCTCGCCTCCTGTGGAACTCTTGCCGTTCGCTGCATTTACGGGCCGGAGCCGCGGCGGCGGTGGGCTATCCGCGGGGCGCGCTGTTAGCAAGGTGTGAGCCCGCCCACCCCGCCACTGTGAGCTCGCTGCCGCCGCGCCGGCCCGCCCCGGCCCGCTCAGGATCTCCGCTGTTGGCGCCGCGTGCTGCTCCCAGGTGGCCGTCCCAGGATCTCAGTTACTCGAGCGGCGGGCGGCCGGCGCCGGTCACCGGCCCGGCCGCCCCCGAGACCGTTCGTCCTCGCCCGGCATTAGTGGCTCGGTCCACCGTGAGGCGCCGCTGCGCGTCCCACGCCACTCGCGCTCGATACGTTCCGTTGGAGGCACGCGCTCGACGGGCTGTGGTGCATGCTTTAGTGCGGCGCGCCGCCGCGCGTGCGGTTGTGTTTGGGCCGCCGGTGGGCCGTTTGTCGCCGTCGCCGGCCGCCTTCTGTACAGTTTTGTAGTTTTTGTTTTAACTGATAACCTTGGAGTGTGCTGTGGTAGCTGGCCTCCTGGGCAGGCTGTCGGATGTGTGTGTGTGCCTGCGCTGTACCAGCGCCGTCGGCCGGCCCGGCCGGTGTCGTCACCCGGCGGTACCCGGCCTGCACCCCTGGCGGCAGCTCTGTCCGCGCCGCGCCCGTCCACCGGGCGCCGGGGGACACCGGCCGCGGGCCTGGCCACTCTGTGTTTTATGCTTCTGTTGATTGTTTTGGCTGGGCGCCGTTTTTCAGGGTTTGACGGGCGCTTTCTTCTCTCTGTCTTGGTTTTACTGTCTCGCGGTCGCGCGGGTCGGGCGGCTGATGTTGGCCTGTCAGTCGGACACTGCCTCGCGCCGCCTCGGGCCCTCAGCGGCCACTTGTAACAAACACGATTTCCATTGGTAGAAGTTCAAATACATTTTAGCAGGCTGTCCGATGTGGTTTGGTGTCGGAGGCGATCGGCGGCTGAGCTGCCACCTGTTCAGAGCCGGGATACTTCCTGTGAACGGGCTGGGACACCGTGCGAGTATGCGAGGAAGACGGCCTACACAGGACCTGAAATATGCGCGGAACGTGGCATGTTTTGACCGATGTCGATTACTGGAGAGAGATGCTACATTTTGAACCCACCTTTTGAATGGGATTTTGCCAAAATCTGGGAAGTTTTTCATATATCGAGATGTATCGCAAAGTTTCTTGCAGCCACTTCAACCGGTTACCAATAGCTACCAGCCTACCGCCGGGTCGATTTTTAGCGAAATCGATGGAGGTGCCGACTTCTTCGAACATCTGTCGATTACCTACGCTAAAACGTCACAAATAAGTAGGCGGGCACCCACGAGGCAATGCTTTCCTACGTGTCACAGTTATGGTGCCACTGGCATTGCACATGCGTTCGTGCAAGGGCCGGTTCCAGATCTTGAGAACGACTGAGCCGATTGCGCTCACATTTGGTAGACCGATATGGACCGGTTAGTACTAAGTAGGGTGCCGTGCAAATCATTTGGGCATCGGGTCACTACTCACTATCCACTATTTTGTCAGTATTGCCAAGTGTCAAGTCTAGTGAGGTGATGTCAATTACATTACTTTACATTAATTACATTACATTGGGATACCGATATAAAACCAATTACCAAATAGGTACCAACTAAAACCCTGAGGAAATACCGAAACCGAACTAACTTGGAAACATGAGGGAAATACAACCTTATTACCAAATTCTTAGCCTCTTATACTTAGGAGTGAGGGACGAGCGAGTTGCCGGTGACGAGAGGAGGCCGATGATACCCAATTTTAATGTCCTAGGTCATTGGTTGGCCTTCTTCCAGGTCAGGTCAATGACCCAAAAGTCGGGAAAATCGGGACCTGTTAGAAAGACGTAAAGTGTGGCTGGTATAGGTTTTTTTCGGGGTGCTGATCACGAATGTCGTGTAATAGTTTCGATCACAGATGATGTCTTTATGCATTTAGACCAGGTCGGGTCAGGTCAGTTAAGGTTAACCAGTAGGGGTCGTGACGAGTATTCGTAGTACGTGTCAACCGCCTCTGACAGCTTCGTAACATGTTACGAAGATAAATATGCAAGATATTACAACAAAAATTACCCGACGTTTCGTTTATTATAACTTTTTCAAGGGTAATGAAACCCTTGAAAAAGTTATAATAAACGAAACGTCGGGTAATTTTTGTTGTAATATCCTGCATATTTATCGCGACGAAACTTTCAGTACCCTCGCGTTCATCAATTTCACACCTACCCTGAAAATTTCATGACCCTGACCCAAATGACCTTTGACCTGTGACCTACTTTTCGAGACCATGTTTGGCTGGAATCGCGATTCGGCGTATGTCGGCTCGCATTAGCCGCGCGTTTGCAGTCTTTTCGTGGTTTCAAGCGTTCAAACATGTGATATGATGTTGCCCCCATGCATAAGGGTGGGTGTCAAGGTCACCTGAAGGTCAGGTCAGGTCATTGACCTTTGATGACCTCGGTTCACTTTTTCGAGTTTTACGTGTTTCTAGCAGTGGCGGCGCCACGAATTTTCGCCAGTGGGGGCAAGCTTGAGACTGACCCGACTGTAGTCTGATAACGCCGATCTGCAAAATCCATGAGCACCTTCTCCCTAGATGTTGTCATTCAAAATTATTTTGGTTTCAGGTTTCATGCATAGGCGTATTGAGTTTAACCATTAACCCTCGCGGGCCCGGAAGGGGAGGGGGGCGTTTTTCGCCTCCCCTGGTGAATATTTGCGATACCTCACGAACGCTTAGGGATAGAAAGACGAAACTTGCTGTACCTTATCCCCCATTAATTTGACATCTTTTGAAGCAAAAAAATTGGAGCTAGCCTCCTTGATAACGCCTCAGGGCCGATTTTTCTAGACTCCTGCACGGCAAACTTCGGCGTCACAGACGTGAACTTCAACCAGCTGCCAAAAATTGAGTTTTAGAGATAAAGACAAATTACGAGCACGGTTGCGTAGCATTTGACCTAGAAAAAAAAAATACTTAAATACGCCCGGTTATATATGACAAGATATAACCGGTTTTTCCGCGACACTACGAGCGTCTTCTCTGGGTCGGCCCCGGAGCCGGGCCGGCCTCTGCGAGCAGCGTTCGGCGGCAGGCGGGCGGCCGCCTGCGCCCCCGGGCGGCAAGGCCGCTAAGGCGGCGGCCTCCTCTGATTGGCGGAACGACTCGTGTCACGTGACGGTGACGGCGCGGGGTTTGAGTGCATTTGCGCGGTCACTCTGTTCTAAACCGCCCGGTCTGACGCAAGTCAGCGGTGTTCTCGCTCTGTAATGTTTTTGCGTTTACTGCGGTCGTGTTCAGTGGAAACTGGAAGACATCAAGGGGAGTATAGGTTCAGTTTTTATATAAATGCTATATTGATTGACGAGGATGTTTTTTTTCCTTTCGGGGTTTTTGTTTATTTTTTACTGGTTTGTTGTTTCTGTCTGATTTTTTTTTTCATTTTCGGCATGAGGTTTGGTTATTTTGTGCTAATGTTATGCTATCACGGTAAGAAAAGGGTCGATGAGCAATGGGTCGGCAAATGCCCGGTATTATAGGTTCTTTGAAGGTTAGATAAAACAACGAAACTTGGACTGCTGGTAGGAATAGGCTTGGTGTGTTTTTTCAGATTTTGGGAGATTGAGTGTAGGTATTTGCTAGGTGAAACATAGCTGTAACTGTTTTTTTTTCGTCCCTGGAACGGAACGCCCGGACTTTGCCATTCTACACTCCGTGTGAGTGAAATCAGCTAATGCTTTCTCGGTGTAGCAGCTCAGAGTGCACGGCCTGGCCGGCGTAGGGTTTGGTGGCCACGTGGTGTTGGCCGGTGGTTGTGCAGAGAGTTGGTAGAATTGCCGTTTTGTGGTGCCTGGTGTTGGTTGAACTGTGGTTCCCATACAGGTGAACGGTTACTGGCGTAAGGTGTGCCAGGTGGGCGTACCCCGTGGAGAATGAGCTGCTGGTGATGTTGGCTCTGTCCGAGCGTGTCCGAGCGGGGTTTTCATTAGTGGGTTAGGGATTGTTGATAACAAGGGTACCAACTGCCGGGTGAGACTTGAGAGGGTAAATGGAGTTCATTGTAAGGATAACCAATGCAATGGTATTGGTCTAAGATGGCATTGTTATCTGGTGTTAGGTTGGGATGAAAGGTTTAGTGGGTGATACAGAGGTACAGAGGTGATGATACAGTGGAACCCAGTTTGGGTGTGATAAGTCTCGGCGGACTAAGATATTATGGATTAGATGGGGAATTATGTAAGGTGGTTTTGGGATGCATTAGCGATAGCCTAGTAAGTTACAGGCTATTACCCAGAGGAAGTTTTCACACCCATGTTTAAAGGCTGCAGTAGGTATGCCATTTTCTAGGATGCAGGTTTAGGATAGCCCGTGATTGTGTGGCTCTCAATCTGCATTGAGGTACGAGTTAACTGTGTTTCGTTTTTTTATGGTAGTGGCGTTTGTAAATCGTTTTTTTTTGCCAGAGTGAGGTGCCTTCCTTGTCGTTGGTCAATAGGGCATTGCCAAGGCATGCATAAGCGACATCTGCAATATGCATATCCTGCCGATATGTCATCACACGCATTGTCAGATAAATGGCGCCAGTATACTCGTATATAGCCCCTTTTTGATACGAGATTTCGGCTAAAAATGGTTATGTGACACAATCTGTTTTTTTCTTCCATGGCTTGATGGTTGGCATCAGACTCTGAACGGCGACGGATCGGCACACTCGGCGGGGCCGGCCCGCTTTGCCAGAGTCTTCTTCGGCCGCTGGAGGATTCCTTCACAGCTCCCACGTCAGCTGAGGGAGTCCGACCCCTCCCAGCTCATCTTGCTCCAGTGGTGCTGCCTAGCAGGTCTTACGGGACATCGTCAGGTATAGGCCAAGGTGGCCGGGGTTTTGAAAGGTACGTTATTCCATGTACGGGGCCCGGAACATATCTGTTAATGGAGGTTCTAGGGGACCCGATATGGGTGGATAGTGAACGCTTGGGCATGGCGATATCGGCATTTTTGAGGGGATATCTGGTTCCACCAATAGGGACATGAGGGCAATGCTGGTGGAAAGTAAGACGCTAAGATAGTAATAACATTGTGATAAAATCGTTAGGCGAAGCCCGAAGAGAAAAAATGAAATCTAGTCAACTCTAACGTTAGACGTGTTTTCAACATTGGTTTGCTGCTGCTGCTGCTGCTGCTGAGGGTTTTTAAATCGTCTGTAACTATCTTCAAAGCGGTCTATTTCTTAGTAAATTATTTCTACTTGTCGCTATAGAATATGATATGACCTTTCTCTGCAAAACAGCGAATGAACATTGAACATACAGGTCAGTTACTATCATTAATAGCTAAAATGAAGTAAGTCAGTATGCGTTGTTAGGAATGGGAGTTTCCCTCAGTGTCCCAAAATTGTATTTTGGCTTGGGTGTCAAAGGAAAATACCTGACATGATGCATATGAAACGGTGGCGTAGCTAGGGGTCTAAGGGGACACGTACCCCACCTCCCCATCGGGTTCAAAGGGAGCCTCGGCTCCGAGGGGCCCTGCGGCGCCATTTGACCACTGGTGGTTAACAATGGCCATATCGAAGGGCCCCATGGGGCTCATTAGAGCACCTCATGGACCCTAAATTGCCACACTAAGATCTCTTTAAGGGCCCCACGCCGGATCCTGAGGGCCTCTTGTGCCTTTTAAGGGCCCTTCAGTGGTCTCCACAGGCCCCTTACTGGCCTCTGAAAGTTCTTACCGGCCTATGAGGGCCCAGTTCTAGGGGCATTTCCCGCCTGTGATGGTCCCACAATTATTTTTCTGAGAGCCCTATAACGGCAACTGTGGGGGCCCTCGTCGGCGCCTATGGGGGCCCACACCGGTGTCTCTGAAGGTTTCACACCCCCAATTCTGAGTGCCTACACTAGTGCCTATTAATGCCCTATATCGGCGACTCTGAGTGAGGACCCGAATCCCTACCCAACACCGGCGCATCTAAAGGCCACCCACTGGTGACTTCTGAGGGCCCCACACCGGTCCGGTGACTCTCAGGGCCCCACCGGCGTCTGATAGTACCATGCCGGTCTCTAAGGACCCCGCAGAACTTCTTCTGCTGGCCTAAGGGCCTCTTGCCGGTCACTGAGAACCCCCTGCCGGCTTGTAGAGGGTTCGCGTCCGCAGCTCAGGCCCCACACCCGTCTGTAACGGCTCCACACCAGCGTCTATGAGGGCCCACAGCAACGCCTGTAAGGACCCTCACCGGCGCCTCTGAGAGAATCACACTAGCACATCTGAGCGCCCACACCGGCACCTGCATGACATTCCCACACCAGTGCCTCTAAAGGCCCCTTACCGGCGGCTCTGAGGGCCCTACGCCGGTGATTCTGAGGATGCTAACGATATCCGAAGGCACCATACAAGCGCTTAGTGTCGCTGAGCTTTTAATCCCATACCGGCCTTCCAAGGGCACCACGTCAGTGCACTCATTGCCCCATACCCCTCCCTTACACCCGGAGCGGGTAAACTGTTATACCTATAGCAACGATTTTACCACAGTTGTACGTTAGGTATTTCTCAAGGTTGACTCAAAATGGTCCAATGTAAAGGCTGGCCTGCCAAACTTATGGCCAAGGCCAGGCCCAAACAAAAGCGGGATGACAACAGCAGATGTCAAATCGACATTGTAACAGCAGAAACCATTCAGATGGCAAGGAAAAGGCGTGTGTTTAGGTTTAGATATATAAAGGAAACGAAGTCCGGAAAAGGGAGGGAAGATCCTTTCTCGCTGCCTCAATGTTGAGGGGGCGCCGCCCCCTCGGCTCTCAGGTTGGGGGGGGGGGGGCAAGCGCCCCCGCTGCCCCCCCTGTTTCCCGGGTCTATGAAAATTACTCACCAAATAAGGGAAAAGGGTGGAAAATTGATGGTCAGATAAGGCCTAAAGAGTGGAAAAAGAATGTACAGCAAAATTTAATACGAGGCTGGTATGTGGGAAGTAAAATGGCTATCGGTCCATGCAAATGCTTTTTCTTGGCAAAATTGGGAGTGGAAAATGGGCTTAAATAATGGAGGCGAGTGAAAAGTGATTTTCATTTGGATGTCGTTTCCCACCTAAATCAACAAACTTTGGAGCACTGGTACGGGGTACCCCTCGCCAGCATCAGGGTTCACGTCACTCAGGACCTGCCTATGGTTGGTTGGTGGGTGAGTTACTGTACCTTCTATGGGTGACATTGAGCCAGCTCGGCGTTTGGAGGCAGTAAACACCTCCAAAACGTGTCGAGCTAGGAAGCAACGGCAACCTTTATACCCATATTGGCCTGTTTACAGCGTAGGGGCTGTCTGTATGCCGGTCATTTGGTCCCTGATCAATCCGGAGCTTCGCGGAAAGGCTTAAGCTTGTTGCCCGTGGCGGGTGATGCGGATACTATCAGATTTCAAAAACGGGTATTTTTGGTATTCCGGTCGGGTAATTGCCTTGAACATTCGGAGAATCTTGGGATGCCCAATTCTGCAAGTCCCGGGTGAAGCTCGCTAGTCTGCCCGGGGGTGTCCCCCTCTACAACGACCCCGTGGCAGCTCGCTAGTCTGCCCGGGGGATGTCCCCTTCTACAACGACCCCGGGGCAGCTCACTAGTCTGCTCGGGGGTGTCCCCTTCTACAACGACCCCGGGGCAGCTCGCTAGTCTGCCCGGGGGTGTCCCCTTCTACAACGACCCCGGGGCAGCTAGCTCGCTAGTCTGCCCGGGGATGTCCCCTTCTACAACGACCCCGGGGCAGCTCGCTAGTCTGCCCGGGGGGGGGGGGTGTCCCCTTCTACAACGACCCCGGGGCAGCTCGCTAGTCTGCCCCGGGGTGTCCCCTTCTACAACGACCTCGGGGCAGCTCGCTAGTCTGCCCCGGGGGTATCCCCTTCTACAACGACCCCGAGGCAGCTCGCTAGTCTGCCCGGGGGTGTCCTCGCCTACAACGGCCTCGGGGCAGCTCGCTAGTCTGCCTGGGGTGCCCCCTTCTACAACGGCCTCGGGGCAGCTCGCTAGTCTGCCCCAGAGTGTCCCCTTCCACAACGACCCCGCGGGGCAGCTCGCTAGTCTGCCCGGGGGTATCCTCTCCTGCAACGGCCTCGGGACAGCCCGCTAGTCTGCCCGGGGTGTCTCCTCCTACGGCGGCCTCGGGGCAGCTCGCTAGTCTACCCGGGGTTGTCCCATTCTACAACGGCCTCGGGGCAGCTGTCTAGTCTGCGAGGATGTACTTTTCTACAACGGCTTCGGGGCGGCTTGCTTGTCTGCTTGGAGTTGGCTGCCGCTAGGACGCCCGGTAGCGCGGGTAACCTTACGGCGGCTTAGAGCGCTGATTCCTGGAGCGGGCCGAGAGCCCTCCCCTTTTTTGCTGGGCGGCTGTCAACGACCTTCGTTGATACTGTTCTAACCCCTTCCAAAGTTCTGGGAAAATTAATGGTCGCGCTGATAGGCATGTGGTGCATAGGGTTCAAGGTAAAGGAAAATACGGCTTCTGTTGTCAGATGCCTCAGAACTCATGGATGGTTGTTTTTTCGGCGGGTATATCGAGGGCCTTTAGTTGATGGAGGCTATCATCGAGGTAGTGGCTAATGCTACTGGTTGTTAGTCCTGCTGAAAGGGCTTCGGTATAAATGCCGTAATATTGGTCTTTAGTGGTGACCGCTGTGTCGCTCACATTCATGTTGGCAGGTTTTAGGGATCGTGGCGTTTCTGGTAAGCTTCGGGCCAGGTTGAGGAAGTAATTACCTACCTTCAACCAAGTACGTATTTGAGTGGGTTCCGCCGCTGGTCTCGACACTGGCGGCGACTATAGGTCTTTTGTGTTAATTTGTATCCCCCATTCGGTCTGCTGGTCTCGGGAAGGGGGTGTTTCATTTTGGCGCATTGGTGTCTGGGTGGATGTATTGAATGGGTGGGGACACCATTGCGCCGCGCGGGGGGAGGGGTGGCGGCCCGTTGGCAGGGCAGTCTCGGTTGAGACATGTATACTTGCTAGTATGTTTGTGTCGTGTTCATTTGGGCTGAATATACCAATAGCCCCTTTTTGTACAGCAACAGTGTTTTCCTGGAGGGATTTGGTTGTGAGGTTTGCGCTGAGATTGGTAACGCATAGCATAGCTAATTGTCTCTATGTTTGCTGGCAGCTCGAAGGGGAAGCGGAAAATACGCCCGGTTATATATGACAAGATATAACCGGTTTTTCCGCGACACTACGAGCGTCTTCTCTGGGTCGGCCCCGGAGCCGGGCCGGCCTCTGCGAGCAGCGTTCGGCGGCAGGCGGGCGGCCGCCTGCGCCCCCGGGCGGCAAGGCCGCTAAGGCGGCGGCCTCCTCTGATTGGCGGAACGACTCGTGTCACGTGACGGTGACGGCGCGGGGTTTGAGTGCATTTGCGCGGTCACTCTGTTCTAAACCGCCCGGTCTGACGCAAGTCAGCGGTGTTCTCGCTCTGTAATGTTTTTGCGTTTCCCACCCACCCACCACTATTTTTGGGGCTTTTTTTTTTACACGCACCACACTCTTAAATAAAGATGGGTTTTTCCACAAAATGTGGTTTTTCCCCAACTAGGTCCCCCGGTTTTTTTCTAGTTAGGACTTTTTCCGGGGGAGGACACACACGACAGGGTTTCTAGTTTGGGTGGGGACACCATTGCGCCGCGCGGGGGGAGGGGTGGCGGCCCGTTGGCAGGGCAGTCTCGGTTGAGACATGTATACTTGCTAGTATGTTTGTGTCGTGTTCATTTGGGCTGAATATACCAATAGCCCCTTTTTGTACAGCAACAGTGTTTTCCTGGAGGGATTTGGTTGTGAGGTTTGCGCTGAGATTGGTAACGCATAGCATAGCTAATTGTCTCTATGTTTGCTGGCAGCTCGAAGGGGAAGCGGAAAATAACTTTGGTGACCTGAGGTCAGAGGTCAGGGCAACGACCCCGAGCTGGGGCTTTAGTTTCTTTTTTCGCAAATAACTTCAACAAAAATGGTCCTGGAGCTACGGCAGTGGTACATTTGCATTAGTCTTGTCGAGACGCGTCGAATGACATATATATTGTTTGGAAAAGGTCAAGTTTGATGTTGACCTCATGTAACCTCGAATGACATTTGGTTGATTTTTTACACATGGAAGGTCATTTGTGATGATTTCGTAGCCGCTGATCACGATTCTGGGCCTCTGGCATCCATTTTGCTGTAAGCATTCATTTAGAGCCTCAGTATGGCAAAACATATCTTAATTATTATGCCTGACTTGAATAGTGAAATAGCCTCTAGCAAGGATACTCTCTTGTGACTTTGACCTTGTAGCAGCCTTGTATCGTAAGCTAAAGCACAAATAGGGGTCCGCTAAGCTTGACAACATAGGTATCAAAACATCTCGGAATTTAGTATACAAGATATAAGAAAAAGTGCAAAGTTTGTGGTCAATTTTGAGCATGATCGTGACCTTGAATTTGAATGTTATGCACATCATCGGAATCCACGGATTCTCTTCTTTTGTTCAACATCTCTTTTAGCCGATTTTATGTACCATGCCGTCCTCTGGAATACGTATGTACTTTGAGACCACTACAAAAATGCCGGTTTTTGCCTTGAATCTACGGATTCTCTTCTTTTGTTCAACATCCCTTTTAGCCGATTTTATGCACCATGCCGTCCTCTGGAACACGCACTTTCAGACCACTACAAAAATGCCGGTTTTTGCCTTTGACCTTGAATTCTGACCTTGAAAACTGACCTAAGGTCAAAAAGTTTAGGTGCTTTAGAATCTTCTCATAGATACTTTTTGTTTGGTACCATTTTTGTTACCGTAGCTGCCTTATTAACGGAGTTAAACAGGGGGGAGGGGGAGGGCTACCCCCGGGCTGCGGTGGTTAGGATTATCCCCGGGCCCGGCCGAAATAAAACTATAAAGCTAGATTGCGAGACACAAACCTAGTAAAAACGTTATGTTGTTCGTTGAGATGTAAAATGGTGTGTTCTTCAAAACTATAGTCAGTACCTAACTATTTCTCCTTTTCCCCGTAGTACGTATATATGTATGTGCGATTCTCTCACATACGATTGATATAGGTACGAGAACAAGCTCCATTAGGGCGACCCACATACAATTCCAGATAACCCGGGATATACATACCTATCACATTTTGTCATACCTCTCTGAGCTCAGTCTCAGTCTAAGGGTTCCCAAAAGAGGGTGATCTCTTCTCTGGCCGACTTTTGATAAACTGCTTCTCAACCTACTCGAGATCAAGCTCGAGGGCAGCCTTTTGGTGAATGAAAATGAGTAGGAGAATGAGTGGGAGTAGGAGATATGCGACAGACGGTCCGAGAACGAACGTTCTGCTGACGCACTTGATGCGAGGACCGTCAAAAACAGGCGTACTATTATAACCGCCTATAATGAATGTTGCACCGGTCTTCTGTTCCCATAATCAGCCATATTTTGTGGGGGCAAAAACATAGTCTTGCCTCCACGGCTTCCTGCCAGTGGGGGCAGTCTGCCCCCACTGCCCCCACGGTGGCGCCGCCCTTGGTTTCTAGGCCAGTTTTTGGAGCTGAATTCGAATTTAGCAACCGCATGAACATTTACGAAGTAGTTTTGGTGCCTTCGTAACATGTTACGAAGCTGTCAGAGGCGGTTGCCACCTACTACGAATACCCTTACTGGTTGACCTGACCTGACCCGACCTGGCCTAAATACATGAAGACATCATCTGTGATCAAAACTAACATGATATTCGTGATCCGCACCCCGAAAAACCCCGTAGCAGCCACACTTTATGACGTTCTAACAGGTCCCGATTTTCCCGCCTGTGGGGTCATTGACCTGACCTGCAAGGTCAACCAATGACCTAGGACCTTAAAATTGGGTATCATCGGCTTCCTCTCGTCACGGGCAACACGCTCGTTTTTTTCGCGAAGCTCTAGCTCGATCAGGGGCGAAACGGCAAGGGGGGGGTCCAACGGACCCCCCCCCCCCTTATACGTTCGCGGCTGGAAAAACACCAATACGGGCAAGGGTTAACCCTCGCCGGCACAGGGGGGTGATGCAACCCCCCTAAGGTTTTTTCGCGAATAACTCGCGTACAAAGCAGCCGATCGCGACGAAACTTTCAGTACCCTCGCATTGATCAATTTTACACCTACCCTGAAAATTTCGTGACCCTGACCCAAATGACCTTTGACCTGTGACGCCTTTTCCGAGACCATGTTTGGCCGGAATCGCGATTCGGCGTATGTCGGCTCGCATTAGCCGCGCGTTTGCAAGCTTTTGTGGTTTCAAACGTTCAAACATGTGATTTAATGTTTCTCCCATACATTAGGATGGGTGTCAAGGTCACCTGAAGGTCAGGTCAGGTCATTGACCTTTGATGACCTCGATTCACTTTTTCCAGTTTTACATGTTTGTAGGCCAGTTTTTGGAGCTGAATTCGAATTTAGCAACCATATTAACATTTACGAAGTAGTTTTGGTGCCTTCGTAACATGTTACGAAGCTGTCAGAGGCGGTTGCCACCTACTACGAATACCCGTCCCTTACCTACTGGTTGACCTGACCTGACCTGACCCGACCTGGCCTAAATGCATGAAGACATCATCTGTGATCAAAACTAACATGATATTCGTGATCAGCACCCCGAAAAAACCCATAGCAGCCACACTTTACGACGTTCTAACAGGTCCCGATTTTCCCGACTTTTAGGTCATTGACCTGACCTGCAAGGTTAACCAATGACCTAGGATCTTAAAATTGGGTATCATCGGCTTCCTCTCGTCACGGGCAACGCGCTCGTTTTTTCCGCGAAGCTCTAGCTCGATCAGGAGCGAAACGGCAAGGGGGGGTCCAACGGACCCCCCCCCCCCTTATACGTTTGCGGCTGGAAAAACACCAATACGGGCGAGGGTTAACGTGCGCACATAGCCGCGCACGGCCGGTCCCCTCACTGACTTCGCCTGGCTACGGCCTGCCACCAACCGCAACCATTACTATATCAGGAGGCCCATAAATGTCAAGCGCCCGTCGCGCTTCGAACCCGGACTGTTGTAACCGGGAACGCGTACTCTCACCGCGTTGAATCCAACGCTCTTACCAACTGAGCTACGGGACCGGCAAATCTCCATTTTTGTCCAAATATGAATATGACTCCATTTTTGTCCAACTCATAGGCGGTCCCAGGGGGGGGGGGGGCCACGGGGGCCATGGCCCCCCTTTGGTGCTGAAAGGTGGGGCCATACTATCTTTTGGCCCCACCTTTCAGATCGAACAAAAGTCCTAGAAAAGCTTTTCGTATGTTTCATTTTCTTTCTTGCGCCATCAAAGGACGTAAATTTCACTCATGAGTGGGCTCAGTTTCGCATTCTGTCAATTTGGCGGTCAGCGTCGCTGGCACCGGTTCACAAGTATGGCCGGATCTTATATGGAACATCAGCGTGGGTTTACTTGAGGCTCTCGTAGGCCCAGCAATGGCTGGCATGAGACCCTCTTCGGCAGTGGCGGGTGGGCTATGATAAAGGAGATTGGCTCTAAGGCACTTAAGTAAGACCTCATGGGTTGGTGCTGTGCACCTCAGAAGCCCGGTGGTGACGCCGTATGCCGGCTTGGTTTCTTAAGGATTAGCGTGGGACCTCCGGGGCCTGCAATAGAGTTTGCATGAGCCAGTAGCGGCGGAACACCTTCAACTAAGGGGGGGGGGGGGCACTGCCGACTTTGAGTCCCATTCTTTCCATGCAACGCCCATAGGGCTAATGTTAAAATGCCAAAATCAAAGGGGGGCACGGTGCCCCGGTGCCCTCCCCGTTCCGCCGCCTATGGCATGAGCTAGTATGTAATCTCAGAGGCATGTGTGTAATGTGTATACAGTGGCGGTCGCGGGGGGGGGGGGCATCAGGGCCATGCCCCCCCAAAGGTCAATAAAGGGGGCCATCATATCATTTGCCCTCCCCCCTCAAACAACCAATGGGCCCCCATATAGGTGTATGGGGCCCTGGTAATTATTCGATCGTCACGAGGCTAAAAAAAAAACCACGCTCAGCTATTAATATAGCTCCCACACCGGTCTTTGAGCGCCCTACACTGACATCTGAGGGAACTTCAGTGGCGGTCAAGCGCCCACGTTGACCGCTAAGAGCCTACATCAACCTCTGAGGCCCCACATCTGGCCTATGAGGGCCCCTAACCGGCCTCAGGGGTCCCAACCGGCGTCTGAGGGTCTCACACCGGTCTCTGGTGGCCTTATTTCTGTCTCTGGTGTCCCAAGACGAACCTTTAGGTGCCAATGAGGGCCCCGCACTGGCTGCTGAAGACCCGATGCCGGCCTCTAAGGGCCTGCACTGGCCTCTGAGGAGGGCCCATCTTGGCCTTTGAGGGCCCTCTGCTGGCCTCTGGGGTCCAACGACGACTCATGCCGGTCTTTTAGGGCCCCACGCTGACCTCTGAGGGCCCATGTTGGCCTGTAATGAGTAAGGACCCACATTAGCCTCTGAGAGCCCAACTCGGTCTCTGATGGTCTCAAACTACTGACCTTTCTAGCTTGCAGGCCCTGTACTGGTCTCTGAGGGCCCTAAACTGGCCTCTACGTGAAAACATACATGGGTGGGTTTCTGAAGATCAGAGGGCTCACGCAGTCTCCGGCACAGCCTTAAGTTGGTCCTGATCGAGATTACTTTACGTCCTGATGGTCCCGCGCAGATTCCCTCATATTTCGACGTCGGAACCCCATGAGCCGGTGTGGGTCCTGGGGCTGGCAGAGACTGATGAAGTCCTTAGGGCTCAGGGCCAGTCTTTTTAG